TCAGAGCAGGTGCTGATGAACAGGGGAGGAGCAGGTTGGCAGGAAGCAGGAAAGAAGTTATTGGGAGTGGAAACTGTTTTTCCATGGAACATCAATGACTTTCTGGAACATTTTTGACACTGAAGAAAGGGGATGGTAATAAAACTTTCTAAATAAAGCTTGAAGTGTAACCAAGCTGATATGAAGGGAGTGTTTAAAGGCTGCACAAGTTGTATTTTGAGGGTACACTGTACTGCCCCAGCAGAATTAGAGCTGTGACGCTCTAAGGAATCAGTGGCCAGCTCTGTGTGTCATTCAGCATGTGACAGTGTGTGACAATCCACCCTGCATGGAAGGCTCTGCTCTGGTGCATTTACACAAGTGATGCAGTAAATTATGTGAACAGTGTTTCTCAGAATACCATTTGACAATTCTGCTTGAAGATAGTTGGCTAATTTGCACGCAGAGCCAAGATTTGCTTTGAGTTTATTAATTTTTTTCCTTTCTGTTAGGCTTCCAAGTTCATTTAGCAATGAGAGTTTACAGAAAAGGAGTGTAAGGCTCCCTGCACTTTGCCTTGCTCATTTCTCTAAACTTTGTGTGCCAGCTCAGGAGCAATAATATCAAGTGACTTCAAAGGACAACTGCTCCCAACAATCCACAATGGCTTGTATTTCAACTGGCTAACCAGCACAGCTCACCAGACCTGTTATTTCAAGGCCTCTGCTGCTCTTTTCATGCATTAAGCTACATTCCCAGCTCTGTGAAACTTAAAGAGGGGAGGAAAAAATCCTGAAGTTGTGTAGAACTTGGGAGGAAGGCTGATTTCCGCATTTGTGTCTCCAAACACAGGAACACAGATTATTTTTAAAGTAAACCTGGAACGTATGTGTCATGCAAAGAGTTAATAATAAAGTTTAATGACATGTTTTCCTTTTCTCACACCCACCTACCTGCTTCCCTCCTTTCACTGTATCTTGTCTGAAACCTGGACCATAGGTTCTTTGGAAAAGGATCTGTCACCATAAAACAACCAGGCTGTGATTTGGCTGCCTACGTGCTGCTTTGGAATCCATGGCAATAATTAATAGGTCATTCATTTTGCATGTCAGTGGTGTTCATTACAGTAAATGTATTTTCCTCCCCTTCTGAAGGCATCAAATGATATTCCCACAAAGTGCTTATTCAAACTGGCAGATCTCTTACACAGGCTAAGAACTAGAAATATATCAAATTCGACATGGAGTTTTCATTCTGATAATATTGCTTGATAGTGGATTTTTGAAACAAGGTCAAGGCTGAGAGCTGTGCTGTTTGGCTTATTTTGAGTTTAATATAGGTGAGTGTAATTGATGTCAAAGAAGTTTCAGCTCCAGCCTCAGTTTTCCACTTTCCAAACCTTCACTTAGACTGTGAGTGGGGCATATTTACAGCCTGAAGGAAGATTTGCCAGTGTGCAAGTCAGCATGAAACAGTGCCCATTGCTGAAAGGATCAGCTCCACCTTTCCAAGGGCCTTCAGTTTCTCATTTTTACCACCCTACCTTGTCGTTGCCAAAAACATTTGTGTGGCTGTGCATTGAGCCCCATCAGGGCCTCACCTCAATTAAAGTTCATCTTTTTTTTTTTCACTGCCTGGTCCCATGAACTCCTGTATAGGCACAACAGAAAGTGCCATGTAGGGTCAGAAAAAACGTGGCCAAGGGCAGCAAACACACAGGACCTGTGTAGGAGTGCTTTGTAATTCTTGGTAAAAGGGTGCCTGGAACTAAGGCCTGATGGTGCTGTGATTTATATCTCCTGGACAAAAGTTTTGATTTCTGGAGCTATTGTCTGAGAAAAGCCTGGTGGCCTCAGCCCACGATGATTCCTTTGAGAAGCAGGCTGTTGAATAGATAGGGCAACCTGATACCATCCACCATTTGTAGTGCTGTTAGGTTTTTATTTAATTCATGGCTATCTATATCTGTCTTAGGAACAGAGAAAGATTAGGTTGGAATCGACTCTGAAAGACAGAAGAGAATGGTATTCAAATATCTCCAAGCCTGTGTTTGTTGGATCTCTCTTGGTGGTGCTGGAAGGTAGATTTCCCCCATGGTGTTGGTCAGGGGTTTCTTTTCTGCTGCTATCTCCCTCTCCCATTCTGTCTGAACTGCAAAGGAGATAAAAATTCTGCCCTTCTACCTGTGATTCTGAATCAGCTCTCCTAACGCTTGGCTATGTGCCCAGCAAAACCCCAGAGCCAAATTCCCCGACAAGCATCCTGTGGTTTGTCTCTATTATCTGAGTGAGGATATACAAGCCCAGATGAAGGGAAGGGAGAAGTGCCTGGTCCAAGGCAAACAGTGATTTCCTCCTCTACACTAATGTTTTAATAATGTTTTGAGAGTGATGGGGAATTGTGAGAATGCTGGAGCTCAATCTCTGAGCATCTTGCATTTGCAACTGTTTGAACGTGAAATAAATTTACCAGATTTCACCTGCAAGAACACAGTCCAATAGGTGCCCCTAAGAATTCCCTGCAGTGCCACCTGCAGTGTCCTCAGCCCTGTCCTCACAGGGGTGCAGGGCCAGCAGCCCTGCAGGGCCCTCACCTTACCTGGGCTAAGGAGAAGCCAAGAGCAAAGCACCACACGGTGCCCACAACAGGGCCAGCAGCCCTGCAGGGCCATCATCTCACCTGGGCTAAGAAGCCAAGAGCAAGCACCACACGGTGCCCACAAGCCTGGCCCTCAGCAGCCTGAAGCAAATGTGGGTTTGTCCTGATTTGGTGGATTTTCCCAGCTGAGGATGAGTAGGCAGACTCTGCTTTACAGCTTTGACAACGATTCCCTGCCTGCCTTCCCCTCGTGCTGCACAGAGGTGCTGCCTGCTGCCTCCTCTAGCAGCAGCTCAGTGATGCGCAGCCTCGTGCAGCTCATTTCTACAGCTGCTCACTTTTTATGGGCTCAGTGTGGCAATGGAGGACTTGCACAAAGCCAGCTGGGGTTTATTGCTCACATCAGAGCCTGGGGAAGCTGTGAGCAGGTCCTTGCACCACCCACCCAGCCCTTACAGCAGCGGGGCTCCCCCGCCCCCAGTGGTTCTTTGGTTCTGCTTCCACAAAAATCCAAATTCCTCACTCTGGACGTGTGCTGATGCTTCCAAATGCCACTGCACTGCCTCTGCAGTGGCCAGAGCTGAGGACAGTGCACTGCTGCTTGTGCCTGAGGGAGCCCCTTGTGCCACCAGCAAGTGAAGGGACGATGCCATCATCCCTTTCTACTCGCTTTGCACACAGGGTAACACCACAGAATCAGTCCTGGCACAATTTTTAAATCACACTCAACTGGGAACACTTGTTTAGCATTATTAAGAGTTTTATTAGCTCTAAAAATAGGTTCTTAAATATTTTCCAAGGTTGACTAAATATGAAAAACAATTATATAGTCAGTGTTTAAAATAAACCACAGTTTGTTACAACTGAGACCCATTCAGAGGAATAACATTTATCAAGAGTCATAGCATATAGAAAATTGAACAGCCTCTGCAAATCCACAGACAATATTTCTCTGCTTGCTTTCAAACTGAGCAGCTCCTGAACCTAATTTTCTGACGTCCATCAGAATTCTTACCAGCAAGAACATTGCAAGCATGGAACGCAGTCTTTGGGTGAGAAGGCTGCAAGGTTTTTAATGAAAATAAAGAACTGGTCTATTGGTGCACCCCTTTTTTTATACCATTTCTTATTGCTAACTGAAAAGTTTTATAAATAATCTTACATAAATAATAATCTCAGAAGTTTTAAAAAGTTCACACCATCAGTGGGACCTGACTCAACATTCTCTGGTCTCTCACTGCTTAAAGTAATCCTGCAATTATTCTGGAATACAAGAATCCTGAATGTCTCTTATTGCAAGAGCAGACCATATATTTTGGGCAAGAGTTAAGCTGCAGAGGAAGATTTGGCAGTTAAGTGAAATGCATGTTACAGCTGATGGCTGCTTTTTTGTTTTATTGGACTAACTGAAAAGATGAAGCTGTAGTGCAGGTAGGGCTTGAGTCATGCTTTTATCGTTGCATCTCTTGGCCTGATATGAACTATGTTATTAAAAACGGTAGCTCAACCTGATTCTGTACTTTGTTTATCTACAACCAAGCTCAGCCAAAGATCAGCTAGCCTAGTGAAAAAATGTAGTTGAAGGCTGTGTACATATAGGCACTGCTAATTGCCTTCCATGACTGTCAAACGACTACAGATACTAACAGATTTCTTAGTATGCCTTTAAACAAAGCACTCTTATCTATGCATAAGGAAAAGCACTACTCGGAGCAGAGTTAATACATGTTAACCTATATCTTGATTTAGTCCGTTGTTCAGAAAAAGAAAAAAAGGAAGTGATTTATCACCCCTTTTCGTTGCCAAAAGGAACTGCAGTACCGTCCCAAAGCTGGCGCCCTGGGAGATCCCAGTGTCAGCGGGACCGACGCCTCTTTCCCTCCGTAGCGCTTAAATGATCAGCAGCTTTGGTGCAGCGACTTTTTGCCTGTAGAGGAGCCGGGTGGATTTGTGACGGCCAGCAGAGCCCACTACAACCCACCCCAAGGCTCCGTGTGTCCCTGCAATGCCGAGAACCCGTTCGGGAGATGCCGATCCCCGCTCGGGAGCGCGTCCCGGCCCTGGGCTCGGGAAGGGCTGACCCGGAGCAGCGCTGGGCTACGGCGGGCAGATCGCGGGCAGCCGGAGGATTAAAGGGCCCGGCAAGAGAAGCTTCGGAGGGAAGCAAGCGGCAGGGTTTAAGGAGCGAGCAATCCCAGCCGTGAATGAAACACAAACACGATGTGGGTTTTCTCTTCCTTAGATAAAAGTACCGGCGAGCCAGCCTCAGTGCTGCCCGCGGACGACTAGTCAGAACAAGTTCAAACTGCAGAGCTCAAATTAAAATGTTTCCTCTGTGTGACTGCCTCCCGCGCCGGGAGGTTCCGCAGCTGCCCCACACCTGCTCCGCCGCCCTGCGCCCGGCACCCCGCCCGGGGCGGCCGCTACACCAGCGACTCGCACACGGGCAGCGAGTCCGAGTCCTGGCTGTGCATGGAGCTCAGCCCCGTGTCCGAGTCCTCGTCGTTGTCGGCGCGGTCCTTGCGCAGCGCCCGCGCCTGCTCCACCCAGCCGCCCCCCGCCGCCGCCGGCCGCCCCCCGCCCGCCGCCCCGCGCGGCTCCGCCGCCGCCTCCGCCACGTCCAGCGTGCCCAGCGTCTCCAGCAGCCGCTGCAGCTCCCGCTCCTTGTCCTCCCACGCCCGCTGCGTGCAGTCCAGGTCGCTCTTGACGGCCTCCAGGTCCGTGCTCAGCTTGAGGCCGATGTAGAGGCTGGTGCTCAGCTGGGTCTTGACCCGCTCGTGCTCCAGGTGCAGCTCGCCCTCGCCGCCGCTCAGCTCCGTGGTGTCGCAGTCCGTGTCGGCCAGCCCGGGCCCCGCCGCCAGCTCCAGCTCCTCCCGCCGCCGCTTCATCCAGCGCTCGTTGAGCTCCTCCTGGATCTCGGCGGCCAGGTGCTCCAGCAGCTCCTCCTGCTGCGCCCGCTGCTCCTGCAGCTGCAGCACCTCCTCGCACTTCCTGGCGTAGTCCTCCTCGGGGCGGCCGGCGGCGGGCTGGCCGGGCTCCCGGCCCGGCTCGGGCTCGCCCGTGCCCACCAGGTAGGTGTCCTGCACGTAGTTGACGCCGTGCCGCTTCATGCGGTCCAGGTGGATCTTGGCCTCGTACCTGTCGATCTCGCGGTCCAGCTCGCGGAGCCGCTGGATCTGCTGTCGGATGGTGTGGTCCTGCGAGAGCACCAGGTGCACCAGCGTCTCCATCCTCTCCGCCGACGAGGCCTCGCGGGCCAGCGGCTGCTGCCGCTTCTTGTTGATCTTGGCCAGCTTGCGGAAGGCTTTCCGCACCACCCGCCGCTGCCGCTCCTGCGTGAGCGCCAGGCTGGCGCGGGCCGCCCCCAGGCCGCGGCCGGGGCGCTCCTTGCTCAGCACCACCCGCGCCTCGGCGCTGCGCGGCCCGGCGTTGGGCAGCGAAGCCTCGCTGCGCACCAGCACGAAGCGCACGTTCTCCTGCTCGTCGCCCCACGCCACCCAGAGCCGCAGGATCTTCGTCTTGTTGGGCAGGATCCTCTCGAAGCCGCGCCACTTCTCCACGATGCAGTAGGAGTGCGGCGGCCCCGACAGCATCCCGCCGGCGGGCTCGGGCGGCGCCGGGCGCTGCCGCCGGTGGTGGCTGTCCTCCAGCAGCACCCGCACCACGTCCGAGCAGGTGGTCCGCCGGGAGAGCCCGGAGATCAACTTCTCCTCCTGGCAGATCCACACCGAGATCTTCCTCTCCTCGGGCTCCATCGGGGGCGGCTGCGGGCGGGCGGCCGGGGCCGCGGGCTCAGCGCCGGCCGGGCAGCCGCTCCATGGGGCGCGCTCGGCGGAGGCGCGGCGCTGCCCGTGCGCCCGGCTCGCAGCGGCCGGGATGCCTTGCCGTCCCCTCCCCGCCCGCGGCACCCCGCCCGTGCGCTCCGCCGGCCGCTCCACCCCTTCCTGCCCGGTGCGGCGGGGCCGCCGGGGGCGGGGGGGCCGGCCCGGTGTTCCCGGAGCCGCCGCGGTGCCCCCGCGATTCGCGGTCCCCGCGTGGGCGCCCCGCGGCTCACGGCCCGCGGCCCGCGCAGAGATCCGCCGGTACGGACACTTCGGGGCAGGTTCCGTGCCCTCACTCCTTCTCCGTGCCTTCACTCCTTCTCCGTGCCCTGCCTGTGCCGCGAACGAGCGAGCGAACGAGCGAGCGGCGTCGGGGACCTTCCAAAGTGCCGAGGGACAAGAGCGAATCCTGGAGCTTCAAAGGGAAAGCCAGAACTAGTGAGGAATTTCCAGTTTTAGTAAATCATCCGCCTGTAATTAGGAAATTCATGTTTGTGAAGCGCTTTGCAGATGAAATATGCAAAGGACGGGAATGTCTAAGTGTTATTAAAATACTAGCTGAGCCAGATTTTAATGGGAGCTTGCTGTGTACTTTGATGGGAACGGGATCGCTCTCGGAGTGCCGATTAAAATTAGAAGATGGGAAAAGTAGTAATAAAACGCAGGGTTTTGGCACTGATTTTCACTGATTGCATCACAGGGTTCACGGACTTAGGCTTTTCTAAGTGATTAAAAAAGTACTACAATGGGCAAAGAAAGAAAACTGTCTCAGACCTGAAGGCTGATCTGTACCTTCCGAAGGAGTTTCAGGGCCAGTAAAATCGGTGGAGGTTTTTGCCTGGACAAGGTTTGTGTTCCAGTCAATGGAACAGAACGGAGTCCTGGCGTTGCAGCCTGACTCCTGTCATTCTGCTGTTGGAAACAGCGGAGCTGGGGCACCCCAAACAGCGAGGCAGCAGTTGTGTAGCCTGATGCCCTCTTTTCCCCTAAAGTAACAGGCTCGCTCTGGGCAGTGCCACAGAAGGACCTGGGGAAGGAATCCTGCCCTGGCTGTGTCATCCAGCTAATTGCGGTGCTGGCGTGTGACGTGCAGCCTCCTGTCCCCAAGGAAGTGGGCTGAGGGACCACCGACCGCCAGCATTCCTGCAGCTGCAATCACAGGGATCCTGCTGCCAGCATCCCTTTCCTGCGCTGCTGCAGGTCGGAGGATCCCAAACCCAGCTGGCCACTGCGTGTTGCAACGAGGGCACGTGAGATAAGGGTGATGGCAACAGGCTGGATTTGCTTCCTGACCACAGCCACCGTGCCTTACCGCTGCATATTCCTGTCCCACGGCAGAGCCTGGCACTGCCAGTTCCAAGGGCAAGGTGTTTTGCTGTCAGGATGTGTCAGAAGTGCTGGATGGCTGTGCTTTGTGCAGAGGAGCGTTTGCTGATGGCTGGGTATTCCCAAGGTGTGCAGGTTCTGTGTTCAGTGGGGTGGTTATGGCTAAAAGCATCATGCCCTCTGGGCCACAGGAAGGTGGGCCCAGCAGTGGCAGTGCTGTAAGAGAACAAAATGACCTTAACAAAAGGGGTGGTCAGGCCTCTGGGACACCCCTGACAGCTCACACTGCCCCAGAATAATAGGGTGTTAAGCAGGAAGGGGATGTGAAACAGGATATTGTGATTCAGCTTTGACTCTGGGAGGTTCAAAATGTTAAAAAACCCTTCAGGACAGTAGGAGAAGAAGCCTTGTTGCTTTCATCAGGCTGGTAGAAAGTTGGAAGAACAGACCATTCCTTGTTGTCCTCTGAAGATCCAGGTGCAGCAAAGGGATTCATGAGGCAGTGAGAAACTGTCCAACTCCTTTACCAGCTGTTCCTTGCCTTTCTCATTTAGTTTTGATCTTGTTTTACATGTATTTTCTATGAGAATGTCTTTGCACCTATTTTCTTTTGGCAAAGAGCAGTACAGGAAGAGCAGGTTGTGATGTGAAGAGGCATCTTATGCTCCCCACAGGTCAAGCCGCTCCAACTTGTCTGACTGCCTGTATCTATCCGGTATCCAAGCCTGGCTTTGTGCAATGAAATTGCAAGATGATCATTCCATCTTTCCATGGCCACATTTCTGTGGATGGAAAGCTGGCTCTGCCTCCCCAGTGAAGCCCCCAAGGCAGCATTGCCAGAGAGAGGATGAAGATGTTGGCAGTTTGGTCGGAAGCAGCACAGTACAATTAAGATTAAGGAGGCAAACATTTGATTTTGATAGGATGTACCTGTTAGATGTGTGTGTGTATGGTCCATGGTTAAAAAGATGGCGTTCAAAATTCACGTTGCTGCACCTCAAGTTTGACCCTCAGGAATTTGGGTTTAGTCTGTCTGCAAACTCAGGGAACTGCTGGCAGAGCTTCAAAGGTTTGCAGTGCTGTATCTGAAGCAAAGTTTGGGCCCTGCTGTGCTGAATCCCAAAAGACAACTGAAGGCAGGCAACCTTTTGCCTTTCCTCCCAGGATCTCAAATCATCCTGCAGAGGAAGGTGCAGCTCTTATCTCATTTTAAATATAAGAATGCTCTGGCCTGAAGGACTCGAGAGCCTTGCCTGAGGTTTTACAGCAAGGCAGTGGCAGCGCTGTGAAGCAAATCAGGTTCCTTCACTCTGCACCATTAGGCACTGAACTCCATCCTCTCCTCTCCTCCTCCATTAGAAAGGGAGGTGGGGAGGATTGTATTAGTTCAACAGCTGCAGATGGTGACAGAACCAAAGTGCAAGCTCAGCAGACAGCATTTCCCTCTGGTGAAGCAATGGGAGAAGGTGGCACATGGGCTCCTTCCAACATCTCCTCCCTGGTGGAGGCAAATCTCCTCCAGCTGGCTGTGCCTGCAGACCAGCAGCACTGGAATAGCAAATTGGAGAGAGAGAAGGGCTGCTGCTCCCCTCTCCACTCCCTTCCCCACTGAGCAGTGATGCACGAGGTCTTCTACAGCTTCTGCAACAAGCATATCACATAATTAAAATTTCAAATGCAGTAGCTGTGGTCTCCTGAAATGCAGAGGTCGTTTCTGTGCTGCGCTATCAATGCACAGCTGACAGCTCTTTTTCAGAAGCACAAACTTCCTTGGCAGAATGCTATCCGGAACTTCCTTCATGGCCTGTATGTTTTTGGTTTGTTTTATAAATTGCAAAAAATCAAAGTTGATGATACTCTTAAGAGCTGCCTAAGCCCCAAAAGGAGATTTTTGAGCTTAATACTTTAGGCTGTATTGAAAAGTTCAAGTCCAGGTATAGACTAGTTTATTTTTATGAACCACGGGAGGATTCCAAGACCAAGGGATCAGAAATCAGATAGATTTTGGCATTTCACATGACATTCTTTCTATTCTTTCCTTTTTATTGAGGGGTGCAATTCACTTACCAAATATTTTATGACAAGAACAGCATTCCTATTAGGGGGTTGGATGATGAGGTGTCTCTTTCTGGTTTGTTGGCTTTTTTTTTTTTCAATTTGAGCTGAACTATCACAATGAGATTGCAGACCTGATTTTTTTTTAATAAACTAAATTATACAAGACTTCATCTTTAATTCTTTGAAACTAAACTAAATAAATACAAATGTACTTTCTGCTTCCATAATTCATATAGCAGGAATGAGGAGGAAGTCTTAGAACCCTCTATTTGAGACATAGAATTAATTTCTTTTAAATGCATTTAAATGGAGAAAGGCTACGGAGTCACATTCAGGGTATTTTTCTTTTTTTTCCACAATGAAGTTGCTTTTACTTTTTAGATCACTCTCAGGACAATTTACTTATTTTTCCTGAGGTTGCAGTTCAAAAGAATACAGCCTAGGTGGATGAGCAAAGGCAGGCTGGAACTGGTAATCTTTTGAGCCATCACTGTCTGGAGAGGCTGCTCTTTGTTGTGATGCTGAGCAGCCACGCTGCTTTCCCAGCTCCTCTTCCTCTGCTCCTGCTCATCTCATTTTGGGAGGTTTACCTCTCAGCCCCTTCTATTTGTTGCTTTCTAACATTTTGCCCCAACAAACACGGATGAAGTCCTTGGACAGAATCTGACTGGGAGTGTTACAAGCTTCTGCAGCGGCTGCTGACCTTTACAGATTGGTGAACAGGGAAGGGGCTGCTTCAGCTTGCAGGTCACTCTCTCACAGCTGCTTTTCTCTTTTGCACCCAGATTTTCCTGATGGTGTAAAGCTGAATAACCAAATCATGCTGTGAATAACCAAATCATCCCTAGTTAGCATGCACAGAATGAAACACTTGAAAAACAACCCCTGTGTTAGCAGCAGTATGCAGACTCCAGTCAAAGCAGTTGGTAATCTTAGACTTTGACTTGGGAGAAAGTTGTTCAGTTTGTACCTGAGCAGCTTTAGACTGGAGAGGGCTTTTTACTTTCAGGTAAAAGTGGCACTTTTGTTAAAGATGACTTGTGTAATGAACAGCTGAAGAGCTTCTGTAAGCAATAAGCTCTGTGACCTCCTGACCTGTTTCCTTCAGTTCCTGGCGGCTGATGGGCGCTGTCCTGCTTCTGAATTCCACCCGTGCAACCAGTACAGGTGACATATCTGGAAATCTGGAGTCATTCCTTGCCTCACATGGCTGGTGGTACCTCCATCCTTTTGGGAAGACTGTGGTGTGGCCCTTTTGCATAATGGCAGCTGATCCTGGGTTATATTGCTTTGACTGCTTCATCCAACGTCTTCTGTTTTCATGTGCACACACCCAGAGTACAAACAGGTATGTCAGAAGGAAACTATCTCCAGTGAAATCAGTGGGGGCTGGCTGCATGGGTAAATCCCTCTGCAGTGCTTTCAAAGGGCAGGTATGTCTATAGACTGCCATTAAAGAAAATTGTCAAGACATATATTTATATAAAGTGCAGCCTGGCAGTCTTGATGGGCTAGATGTGATGTAAATGCATGGGAGGAGACTATCCCTG